GTCACCATGTACAAAAAATTAAGATTAGACAGAGTTTTTTTCCTACACATAAGAAACAGTTTTCAAGATACCAGTAACGCTACTAAGTATGCCTACCTACTAAACTATCAAGAAGCCAGAGCCCAGAATGTTGAATTAAAATAAAGAAATACCATGTTTTAAAAATTAATCTTCAAATAGACTTACTGCATACAACTATTCCTGGTTGAAAAAAAAAAATAATCTAGATTTGAACAAAAACTTTAAAATTCCAGTTGCCAGGGTGTATTAGCCAGTAAAACTCCTTTACTCATAAATATAAAACTGTATTTGTTACACTCATGAATGTTCCAGTACTTGAACTCATTTTAATTCAGTAATAATTTTTAATATACACACACACATTTTTATATACATACATATGAGATATCCTAATACGCACTTCATGTTACTGTAGTATTAAGAAACAGAACTATGGCAAATAAGCTACAGCCAATTCATTGCCTGTGAAGAAGTCAGCACAAACATAACAAAATTGAGGTTAATAGTGTATTTAATATTCTTTTTCCTAGGACCCGAAGACAAAAATTACTCTGCATTAGTTCACTGCGTATGTGTGTATATTTATATGTATATGTGCATACACACATAATTTATTTTGAGTATCAATATGCAGTGGCATGAAGAAAGCTAAGTATGGGCTAATATCACAGGCCTGAAGAACTTCAAATGTTTAAAGAAAGCAGCATCTTAAGGAGCTGTCTATTAATCATCAACAAAAGTCACACCAGAATTATAAACTTTATGCAGTGGCCATTCCCTTGACCCTCATTTCACTCAAACAACTACAGTGTGTTTAGAACAACATATACAAAGTACTTATGCCTACTAATTAAATACTAACGTATTACTAATTAGTATCTCTGAATATATATTTATACATTTAGATATATACGTATATTTATGCATACATACTTATACACAAAATCACTGCATGTTTGGATTTGCATTTTAAGTATGAAATACTGAAGTTACATATATATTTATAAATTTAGCTTATAATTTTCTCTAGGTCCAGACTAATTCTTATTGAAATCAATTAGGAAAAAAACAAATACCAAAACACCTCCCCTAAAAAGCCTTTCTCAGTCTCCCTGCAAAAGCTAGCAGTAATGCTGCCAAGAATGACTTGATGTATGCCAGAATCTTCAGAGCACCAAATCGCTATGCATTTTTTGAATCAAAAATGTGCAATGGTGCATTTTTTATTGTTTCTAAAGAACATTATTCATAAAGCAGCAGAAGTTGAATAATTTCTGGGAAATCATTATAGTGTTGTTATTATTAAAAATACACAGGGTAGACTTCCTTAATTAGCATACTGGTCTCCAAACATTACTTCCTTCTCTATCTTCTACACTGTAAAGACAATTTCTTACTCATGCTTCCAAGGGCCTATTTCAGGCACTATCAATCCTCCTTACCCCACAAGCTGTGTCCCAATATCTTCATGTGGTCAAAAGCCAAAAGAAATACACTATTTACCTGAGAGAAGTGAAGGAAAAGAGAATTCTGGGAGGGGCTCAGAAGCACAAGATGACAATAGCTCTCTTCAAGCCCCATCTCTCTGCTGTAAAAAGGAACTGAACCGTTGCCCAGGACCCAGGGACAAACAGTTAATGTCAGCCGCAAATGCCAGAAAGGAAGATCACCTAGCATAATGACACAACACTACTGCATGTCACATGACAATCACAACAGATGACCTTTGCCTGAACAACTCAGAAGCCACAGAATATTCAGAGGAACAAACTGGCCACATTTCTATATTTCATATCTGGCCTTGTTCCACATCTATTCCTGTGATCTTATATCCAGCTCTTATTTGCTACATTACATTTCATTCTGGACCAACTGCTTCTTTTTTTCCCCCTTTCAACCATCAGCTTTGTATCTTCATTTTTTTTTTAATACAGTGCAATCAATTTTCCTCAGCAAGTATATGAAAACAGTTTCCTCAGAAACATTTTTAGTTGCCTTTCAACACCAATCACAAGGCAGACACCAACAGAATTCCTACCAATTGATATTTTAAATGTTCTGATATGTTCTGCAGCACAACTCCTTAGGACTGATGTTGATTTGTTTTGCCATACAAGGTGCACTAATGTGTTACTCAAATTCAGCAACGAAGACATCTGACATATTGTTTTATATACATGTTCTTAAGAGAAATATTTTCAAACTCAGTATTTTTCCCTAGAACTAAATATATCAGTAGCTGAGTATCAGCTGTCTTCAAATAGTACAGACTCAGAACAAACCTCAATTATATGTTTTCTGCTTAAAATTTTTGATCACTGCAAAGACCTGAACTAAAAAACAGGTATCACTGATGTTAATTCAACCAGTGAATATATTAATATTTTAATTTTTATTTAGAACATTTTGAGCTTCATATCTCATTAAGGAATTAATTAAATAAAAACAACAAGTTTTCAAAAGCTTTATAATCTCAACAAAAAAGAATGGGTTAGCACAAAGAACTTGCTAATGTGCATTAATGTGTTCCTCGCAACTCTGCTGAAAGGCATTTCTGAAGCAGATCAAAAATGCTCAGTTATGAAGGGTGGCAGATGTACTTGGATGAACCTGCCAGAATTACTTGATATTGCTGACAAGCAGAACTTACTGTGTCAACTGTGTCAACATATTGCGCAATTTCTGAGGGGAGAGGGGAAGAAAGAAAAGAAAAAGCCAGCCAGAACCAAGGGAGCAAATATTAAACTCTTGTATGAATTTGAATTTTATTCTTATCAATGTAACTGAACAGTTGCCTCCTATTGGTAGTATGGTTTCAAAACTTCTTTGTCAATTTGTTAAGTATAGAAGCAATCAACATTAACCCAGAGTACAAACCTGTACACAAAATTCAGTGGCTTGCATTAAAAAGAGCCTAATGGGGAAAAAAAAAAATAAATTACAAGTTTTCTCAGTTTCTGAAATCAGACTGTTATTCCAGCTGGTCCTGAGAGTAGTCTAAGTATTTGCTTTCAGTTGAACAGGAAAATACCAGGTTAAAATTCCCAGAGAGAAAAAAACAAGTTTCCAAAATTACATATTGGCTAATAACTTAGCTTTTCAAAACTTTAATTTTAAAAAACTTTTCTTTAAAAACATTTATCTACTTTTTCTTTTTTTTTTTTTTTTTGCTGGTGATGACTAAGTAGATGCTAGTTTAATTTGTGACAACTTACAGTCACAATAATAAAGTTGTGTACTCATTAAAGAGGTATCTCACTGACAAAACCACAGATATAAGACCATTTACTGTTGTTTTCACTACTAATTTAAATTTAACAGAATTTGTAATGCCTTACATGTAGACAATTTAAATAAAAGAATAATTATAAATTGAAACACACTTCCCCCTCTTAAAAAAATGACTGGAAGCTATATTCTTTTGTTTTTGTGTTGCTGTGCTCATGCAACATAGTAGTTTCACCAGGCATATTGTGTGTCTGAAGTATAATCTTTCTCCAGACTTGAGTGCTACAGAGACATTGACCAGCAGTTCACCAGAAGCCACTCCGCCTTCACTGAGGGTAGCCAATAAAAAATTAGCAACTCTCCCTTTAAACAGAATGAAGCAGCAAAATGAAATTTCAGGGCTGACTATAAGGTGCCCTCTTTGAATGGGACTGGAAAGTGCACAGGAATGCATATATTTTACTTCAATGATCTCTTAAAGTCATGGGGGGAGGGGAGGGTTTGGTGGTTTGATTATTTTTACTTTGTTTCTAATACTAAGTGTCAGTCAATCTAGATACTATCGGTACCCTACTGACAAGTCAAAAATGTTTGAGCGTTCATACTTTGTTGCAAAAGCAATTATCTAAAGAGAAAGCATATATGAATGGTTTTACTGTATTTCAAAACAGAAAAATTTGATTTGTCTGAAACTAAAAAAGATAGCCTAGAAGAAATTTGAGATTCACTATACCTTGTATAGATATAACTGCAACTGCATGCTTTGCTTTTTTCAACTTAAAAAGGATTTCACACCATGACAGGTTTCATTCTGCATTAAAATTGCAAATCTTCTATGTGGCCCAGTTTCAGCTGCAATTGATCTGCTTTGTTTTCATAGATTAAAAAAAAGTGAAGGACACTGCAGCTTTAAATATTTCAGAGCTATGTAGCTACTAAATAGACTCCATTGCAATATGGCTCTGAAGGTCGTGTCCTATTGTCTCTTTTCTCTGCAAATATTTTGAACAGCATAAAATGGTTTATTTTATACAATACCTCCCTGCCATTTCTAAATCACGTCAATTGTATTAGGCATTTCCTTACTGGAAAGGACAGATACGCCCCTCTTTCCATACACACCCACGCTGCTTCTAGATGTATTCAAAACGTCCACTGTGAGTATAACAGCAGGGTGTACATATCAGACAGCTTTTCATATGTATACATTACGTGAACAGACTCCCCACTAAATCCCACTGCAACATAAGGACAATTAGTTATTTCAATGGTGATAAAATAATTAACTGGATTTCACATCAAGAAGCATCTTTGGTTAAAATTAATGTGCCAGTTAGAAAAATTAAGCCAACAATTTTAACATCTCCAGCTTCTCACAAATGGGAGAATATGAAAAAAATTGTAACATGCAGCACCAAGAGAGCATAGTCTGACAAACCTGTTTTTCATGAATGAAGGCTAGTACCTTCTGGATGCTAAAAAATAACCAACAAAAAACCACAAAGCCCTGTTATATGTAAGAATAAATTACAAGAAAAATAAGACTGTAAACCTTAAGCCAGAATTTGGAATCTTTGTGTACGTACCCCTAGGATCAGCAGCCCCACTTATTTGATAAAAGGTGACTATTCAATGCTAATATGAGTTACAGAGATGACTCTCAGATAAAACAGTAACTTGATATACACCCTTGCAAAAAATACAACTTTGTGATAGCTGTCACCATGTAGAAGGTGCATGTAGTCATTTACCTGAAAAGGCAACAGATTGCTGCCATTGTCCGTCCTGAATGCGTTGTCTTCCATCCAGGATTTGGGGGTTAAGGGTGCAGCCCGTGGGAACTTCGGAGGGGCAATGACATTGCTGGAGAACGGTTTTTTAAGGGGGGAAATGGGATTGAGGGGGGAGGGTACACCAACCCCCACTCCCACGCCGACACCCACTCCAACTGCCCTTCGAGGGTCCCTACCAGCCTGCAGCCCACCCCAAGGGTTGGAGGGTGTACTCCAAGCTGCGTTTTGATGGTTATTCCAGCTGGAGGAGGAAGAGGAGGAGGCAGAGGAAGAAGATGGTTTGCTGGTCATGATGGCCTGATGGCTGTAAGCAGCATTTCTCTGGGCAAAAGGTGCCTGATTAGGGCTTACAGGCGACCTCCTCTGCTGCTGCTGCTGAGCTTGCTGCTGCTGCTGCTGATGTTGGTGGTGTTGAGTCTGAGCTAGGCCAATTTGTGGTGAGAAAGTGCCACCAAATACAGGGTTGACATGGTGTGGAAAATTCTGGAAAAGCATTGTCCCATTGACCGGAGTAATCCCTTGGAAAAAGCTATCATCCACTGTGTTTGTGGTCCCTGTAGACCAGGTGCTGCCAAAGGAGGGAGACAAGGAGGTGCCGGCTGCAGGTTCTTGTTGAGGCTGGTGAAAACTCAAGCCAGGCAAAATGGGAGACTCCATCTGCATCTTCTCCTTGCTATTTTGGGAAGGAGCCGATGTGCCGATACTAGTCACTGAACTGCTGTCTTCTGGTTTGGGTGTCTCCGATGAGATGGGCGTAGAGGGGGCTTCTGCTGAGTTTGGATCTTGCTGCTGCTGCCGCTGCTGCTGGGCTTTGCTTTTGTCCATCAGTAAATCATCCTGCATGGTTTGCGCAGCTGAAACAGTAGGGGAGAAAACCACAAAGACAGATTATTAACATTGCCATTCATACCACAAACTAGGCTGTTTTAATCATTTGCCGGCCAAAAATCTCATCCTATTGCTAGGGCTACGCTACAGCAAGTTGGAAGGCAAACCCGTAATCTGCCCCCTCCCCCATTTAGGAATATGTAACCTTTGATCGTGCTAGATTGCCTTTAAAATATTTTTAAGATGCTTCACCCTTTTTGATGCCTGGTTTCCCTTCGGTCTAAATGACAGATGTGCTTATAGGGCAGAGATATACAGCAATTTCGCCACGTCTCTTTTCTCTTACACCGGAACTCAGAGCTCTCACCCTGCAATGAGAAACTGATTCTGGTTCCTGTTTTTCCAAGCACCCTCCTCCTCCTCCACCTCCTCCCCCTGGTTATTTGCATACGTCAATAAATACTGCTGCGTCCTTCAGCAAGGTTAAAAAGACACCAGTCTTCACTGTTCTCCACCCCCTTTTCTATTAAGGGATTTTTAAAGGGGCCGGGTACCGATATTCCTTAATTAACAAACAAGATTTCAGTTATTGAAATTTATCAGAGAGAAAGCACACACGGAATCTCGCACTGATACGGGAGCAGTTCTTAGCTGCACAATCGTTTTCTGGCCTTTTTTTTGTCGCACAGCTCGCTGCTTGCTTAGA